GATCAATGGTCATGAGAATTTGCATAATTATGATTAAGGAACTGACCTCACAGCCCATTGTTCCTTCAGTGGGCTGGTTTCAGTCATTATGCAAATGTCCTGTTTATAAGATTGGAAACCTGCAGTCAGCTGAGACTGAAGAGTCACTTGGATGAGTGACGAAACGTTTCTCCCACAAAACGCTACGTCCAGATGAACAGAATCAACTTTTGGAGATTATAATAACCCTTTAAGCGTTCACCGAAGTCTATTTACCAACATACGTAAAGATATTACCACAAAAAAATACACGGAAACATTGGAAATCACTTTTTGGCACAACACGCAGGTGTTCCAGATCTACTGGCGTTTAGATCAACTGGCGTTGGTCGAACTAGATGTGTGGCAGTCTTGCGTTTTCAGTAGCTCCACCGACAAACCAGCCAAAAAAAAACGCCAAATGTCACTGTGAACACGTGAGGTTGTCTTGACCTCGTTCATGTTGATGCTGTTGAACAACAATTCAAATGCCAGTACTGGGCCCTGATTCAGGAAGCCGGTTTAGAAAACTCAGAGTGAAAAACGATACTCAGGGTTGAGTAACCCCGAACTGTCCAACTCGGAATATTCGGTTTCAGAAAGGCTGATAACAATTAGTTCATCAACGCGGAGTTGCTTTAACCCCAAGTAAGCGCGCGACGAGGATACATAAAGCCCTGATAAGCGGAGCACAGATTAAGCGAGTCACCATGGAGACGGAGGGAAAGAAGGCGCGGTCAATGTATTTTACAGCGCTTGAGGCCGAAATTCTGATGGCAGCATATGCCGATAACATGCAAATTCCGCGGAAAAAAGTAACATAGCCATAGCTGCAAAAGAACAGGGAGCATGCATGGCAAAACATAGCCGACAGAGTCAATGCGTGAGTGTTAATTTAAACATTGATCTAGGGATTTCCACCCATTTAACACGTTATTTTATCATATGTTATTTTATCTATGTTATTTTTTTATATTCATACATTTTATTTTGTGATGTGATGTGAGCGCAGGTGCAACCCAACAGGCCCCAAACGTCCTGGCAGCAAGTAAAAATGAAATATAAAAATATAGTCCAAACAGGTGAGGTGTAATTGTATTATGAGCCATAGTGCTTGGTCTGTTTGTCCCTATGTAAATCAATTGCAGTTAGAGGCTACATTAATTTCTTTCTGTAAGCACTTATTGAAATTATCTGAGCACATTACAAGTACATATTTGCTTACTCTGTATGCTCAAATGTGACCCGTTATAGCCAACAGAAAAAAACGAGGCCGAACGGTGGGGGTCCTCCACCACCACACTCACAGAGGCTGAGCAGTTGGCCCTCAGCCAAAACAGTGGGCGCCCTGTGGCCGAAGGCATCTCTGCGGGGACATCCTCTGAGTCAATAACCCGCAAGACACAAGTGCCTACATAAGGGGGTAAATTCAAAATAATACATGATGTGCATACATCCTTTCTTCACAGTCACCTTTGCAGTGCTACTCATTCATTTGATAAACTCTTTACCATAATGGATTATTTTGTAGTGAAGTCATTTTCCTACTGATTTTGCCTTCCCTCAGTCTTGGTTGTCTTTGAGAGCATAATGACAATGAAGTGTAAGGTGATAGGTATGTTTGTTAATTGCCATTTGGTCCCTTGTAAGTTATAAGTGACCTGTATAAACCTCATATTCTATCAGTTGATGGTGGTGGTGTACTGCATCTGGTGCAGCCTCCTGTTGAGCCAGACCAACATGCAGTTGTGAGTAATACTCCACAGATTATATGAGTTTACAGTAGAACAGCAATGTTGTTTATTTCTTTACTACAGGAAAATAATGAAGAAACATTGACAGCTGTTACAGAGGAGGAAGCAACAGAGACACTTTATGAGGTTTACATCTTGTAATACTTTGTGTACAGGAAACACAGGTCGACCAATAAAGCCAGTTGAACAAAAAATCTGTTTATTCTTCTTTCAACATGTTGAGGTGATGGGTCAAAAGAAATGATTGTGACATATGGTGTCTCTGACTGCGCTTCCATCTTGTATGTCCGTGGGAGGGTCAGGATGTTCATGGTTTGGATCACTGCTGATGTTTGGTTCAGAAGGACAGTGTTCTCCTCTAATTGTGGCAATGTTGTGAAGAATCACACATGCCACAATAATGTCACATGCCCTTTCTGGGGTGACCCTGAGTCTTTGCAGGCACTGGAACCGGGCCTTAAGCATTCCGATAGTCATTTCAATTCTGGCTCTTGTCCTGCAATTAGCCAGATTATATCGCTGCTGTGGGCCCGGTTCAGGGTCAGGGTAAGGGGTAAGCAAATAGGGTAAACATGGATACCCCCTATCACCAAGCAAGTAGCCAGTGAACTCTCCTAAGACAGAAGGATACACTTCAGTTCAAATGTCCCTGAAGCAATTGGTCTTTATATATTTTAAAGTATTCTCAACTCACCATGTCCAAATTTTGTGCTCAGTGTACATTCACGGAATATTTGTGAGTCATGGACAGAGCCTGGCCACTTGGCTTCCACATTTGTGATAATGTTGGCAGCATCACATATGATCTTCACAGTGCAGAGAACACAAATTAGCATCCATTACTATAATGAAATAATTTGTTAGTTTGAAATGCTACAGGGAACTATGTACCTGTACATTAATGCTGTGGAAAGACTTCCTGTTCACATAGTCTCCTTCATTTACTGAAGGAGCAATGATTGGAATGTGAGTGCCATCTATACAGCCAATCACGCCTGGGAACCGTGAAATAAATGTAAAATTTAAGTAGTAGTTCAAGTATCACCACATCATGAATTAAGTTTTGTTCATCCTGATACCTGCAATTTTGTGGCATCCCTCTTTGATAAATCTTGTGGGTCTATGACCGGGGAACACCACAAACGAGTACAGGAGACGTTTCAGTGCAACTGTAACATTCCTGACTGCCCGACAGACGGTAGCCTTGGAAACGTGCTCAGCGTCACCAATATTATACAGAAAGCTCCCGTTTGCAAAAAACCGAAGTGCATACAAATAATATGTAATGAACTGAGAGCATGTCCGCGATGTGTCACATGCGTAATATATGGCCTGAGGATGTTATCAAATAACTTATAGATTGTGCTGAGAAACGGTAACGTTCACACAGAAACTCATCAGGAAATGATAAAATGTCCAAACGCGTCTGATCACTCTCTCACCAACGGGTGCCCCACCTGCCGGCCTTGCAGGCTGAAACCTCACTTCCTGATGTGGTGAACTACTGAATCTACTATTATATTTTTACTCTGTTCATTGTCCGCGGCCAGGCCCGGGTGTGATCCACGCGGGTTGACCTAACTATTTGATGTGGTGATCTTGAACTACTACTTAAATTTTACATTTATTCTCACGGTTCCCAGGCGTGATTGGCTGTATAGATGGCACTCACATTCCAATCATTGCTCCTTCAGTAAATGAAGGAGACTATGTGAACAGGAAGTCTTTCCACAGCATTAATGTACAGGTACATAGTTCCCTGTAGCATTTCAAACTAACAAATTATTTCATTATAGTAATGGATGCTAATTTGTGTTCTCTGCACTGTGAAGATCATATGTGATGCTGCCAACATTATCACAAATGTGGAAGCCAAGTGGCCAGGCTCTGTCCATGACTCACAAATATTCCGTGAATGTACACTGAGCACAAAATTTGGACATGGTGAGTTGAGAATACTTTAAAATATATAAAGACCAATTGCTTCAGGGACATTTGAACTGAAGTGTATCCTTCTGTCTTAGGAGAGTTCACTGGCTACTTGCTTGGTGATAGGGGGTATCCATGTTTACCCTATTTGCTTACCCCTTACCCTGACCCTGAACCGGGCCCACAGCAGCGATATAATCTGGCTAATTGCAGGACAAGAGCCAGAATTGAAATGACTATCGGAATGCTTAAGGCCCGGTTCCAGTGCCTGCAAGGACTCAGGGTCACCCCAGAAAGGGCATGTGACATTATTGTGGCATGTGTGATTCTTCACAACATTGCCACAATTAGAGGAGAACACTGTCCTTCTGAACCAAACATCAGCAGTGATCCAAACCATGAACATCCTGACCCTCCCACGGACATACAAGATGGAAGTGCAGTCAGAGACACCATATGTCACAATCATTTCTTTTGACCCATCACCTCAACATGTTGAAAGAAGAATAAACAGATTTTATGTTCAACTGGCTTTATTGGTCACCTGTGTTTCCTGTACACAAAGTATTAAAAGATGTAAACCTCATAAAGTGTCTCTGTTGCTTCCTCCTCTGTAACAGCTGTCAATGTTTCTTCATTATTTTCCTGTAGTAAAGAAATTAACAACATTGCTGTTCTACTGTAAACTCATATAATCTGTGGAGTATTACTCACAACTGCATGTTGGTCTGGCTCAACAGGAGGCTGCACCAGATGCAGTACACCACCACCATCAACTGATAGAATATGAGGTTTATACAGGTCACTTATAACTTACAAGGGACCAAATGGCAATTAACAAACATACCAATCACCTTACACTTCATTGTCATTATGCTCTCAAAGACAACCAAGACTGAGGGAAGGCAAAATCAGTAGGAAAATGACTTCACTACAAAATAATCCATTATGGTAAAGAGTTTATCAAATGAATGAGTAGCACTGCAAAGGTGACTGTGAAGAAAGGATGTATGCACATCATGTATTATTTTGAATTTACCCCCTATGTAGGCACTTGTGTCTTGCGGGGTTATTGACTCAGAGGATGTCCCCGCAGAGATGCCTTCAGCCACAGGGCGCCCACTGTTTTGGCTGAGGGCCAACTGCTCAGCCTCTGTGAGTGGTGGTGGTGGAGGACCCCCACCTGTTTTTCGGGCCTCCGCTTTTTTTCTGTTGGCTATAACGGGCCACATTTGAGCATACAGAGTAAGCAAATATGTACTTGTAATGTGCTCAGATAATTTCAATAACTGGTCACATTTGAGCATACAGAGTAAGCAAATATGTACTTGTAATGTGCTCAGATAATTTCAATAAGTGCTTACAGAAAGAAAATTAATGTAGCCTCTAACTGCAATTGATTTACATAGGACAAACAGACCAAGCACTATGGCTCATAATACAATTACACCTCACCTGTTTGGACTATATTTTTATATTTCATTTTTACTTGCTGCCAGGCACGTTTGGGGCCTGTTGGGTTGCACCTGCGCTCACATCACATCACAAAATAAAATGTATGAAATATAAAATAAAATAACATATGATAAAATAACATATGATAAAATAACGTGTTAAATGGGTGGAAATAACAACCACTGACCAAAACCCACTGATCAAAGACCATGAGTACCATTCACAGAGAGTTGGGGAATTGCTGCAATCACGGCATTGTAAGGTCTGCCCCGGGCCTCCTCCCAGTGGGACATGGCCAGAACACCTCACCCTGGAGGCATCCCTGTCAGATGCCCAAACCGCCACTACTTTCAAAGCCAGGAAGTGATGTCAGAATGAGGAAACGCTCCAAGACCTTAAAACAGGAACAAATCTGTGTTTTTGGAGCTGTTCCCCTCTGCTTCACTGCAGGTGCTCTGACCTCTAAACAGTTTTCCTGAGCTGCTCGGTCCTCCTCGAGCAGCTCAGGAAAACTGTTTACCTGTTTCTGCTGAGAGGAGCAGCTGCACATGTGATGTACTGTTAGCGACTCCAGGCCAGCGAGGATCTGCTGGAGCTCAGCTCAGGAGGGAGGCAAAGGCTTATGATCCTGCACAACAACAACAACCATCATTTTCACACAAACAGAGGACTGTCATGTGATGCGTGTGCATACCTTCATGTTGTTCCACGGGAGTGGACACAGCTCCACACCTGCATGATGAGCTGATGTCTTTTATTGACTAACTGAAGAATCAGAAATGAATCTTTTTGGTAATTATTAAGCAATCATTAATATTCAAAGGAGAAAGCACAACTTGTGTCTTCAATGAAACATTGAAGCAAAAAAGCTTCATTTTGGAATGCTGCAGCGCTACTTGAATGTGGGCGGGGCTTTGCTGAAATGGTACGGGGGCCTTCTGTGACATTCACCTGCACACGGTGTGAAGGTTTGATGTGACGACTTTATGTTACTGTGACAACAGCACACTTGTGTCAGGTGACCGCGCTCCGTTTACAGCCGTGTTATTTTAGGCCCAGATAACTTCAGACTTCATGGCGCCGAAACACGCGTCTCGGTTTACAGTTGTGAAAAGAAGCTTCGTATAACGATGCGATAAGGAGGTCAGAGCGTACAGGAAGTCAGGGCGGGCTTTAAATGTGATCCAGCCGCTGCTGGAATGAGAGTTCAGTGTGGGAGCAAGCAGCCGTGAGAGGAGGAGGGGCTGTCTCAGGTAACCTGAGCCACAGGTGTGTACCTGCTGATCTTCTTTCTGAGACTGGACGTTGCTGCAGCCCCTCCATTCATCAACAAGCTGCTTTAGCTCCTCCCATTTCTCCGCTGACTGGCTGCTCCTTTATTAACAGTTCAGATTCTCTCTCTCTCGCTCTCTCTCTCTCTCTAGGGTGTGGAGGATGTGAGTTGTGCCTGAACACTTCAACCTGCTAATCAGATCCAGCCAGTAAACGCTGCGTTCTGTGCAGACACAGAGGAGTCGGGCTGGTTTTATTAGACTTGCTGGATCAGAAGCCAAGTGCTGGACGCGGTCTCGGTGGTTGATGTGGTCCTGATCGGGACCGAGAGACCTGCGAGGATCGGACCCGTCCCGGTCTGAAAGATGGCCGTGCTCCACACAAAAGCTGTGACTGTGATCCTGTCTGTCACTGTGCTGCTGGGGTGAGTTCATGTACTTATACTAAAGTTAATACTGCGTTTAATACTACTGTTAATATGGTGTTTACTACTGAAGCCTCTGTTCGGCCTCTGCGATGTCAGCTTTGAGCAGAGCAAACACACGGAGCATGCTCAGGTTTCAGGCGGATCCTGCCAGGTCTGTAGCTCAGTCTGCTCAGGGCGTCTCTCTGTGTTCGAGCTCGCAGCGTTGAGTCGTTCAGGGTTCACAATGGCACAAAGCCTCGTGAGTGACAGCTGTTTGTTCAGGTGTGTTCAGGCTGATGACTGAAGCTTTCTGTGTTCGTGCGCTCCTATTGGTCAGCTCTATCGCAAACACCTGATGATCATGTGTACAGTCCAGTAATAGTCTGGTTTTACAGAATGTAACCTCTGACCGAGGCGACGGTCGAGCCTGAGTGTAGGCGTGTTGGCGAGGAGAGGCACTCGACCTAATGCCGTTCGGGTTAGGAACATGTTAACGAGCTAAAGGTCTGTTGATTGATTAATGATTGTGTTTGTTTGACCCCACAGGCTGCTGTACTTGTCCCAGTACTACAGGTAACACACACACTCGCACAGACACGCATGATTCCTTCCTGCTAGCTTCCGCTTTCGCTAAGTCTCTGACTTTCAAAATAAAAGTCACAGAGCTTCCTGTCTGAGTTTGAACTGCAGCTGAAACAGTCACGTGACCCAGTCTGAGTGCACGAATCGGCGTGAATGTTGGAAGCTGCATCAACACAAACCAAACGAGACGTGAAGCTGTGTTGGATTCATTGGATGATCTGATGATGATGTCACAGCCAGGAAGTGGATTCATGTTAGGGTGACCATGCTTTGATTTCCAAAAAAGAGGACACTTGGCCCAGTCATGAAAAACTTTATTAATAGTCTTTGCTTAAAGAAAACATTAACATATTTAAACGAGGCCTTCTCTGTGCAGTTAATGAATGGTGAAATAAAAAAAGTCACATATCCCAGAATTCATAGCGTGGCCCAGCCAATTCCAGTTTTCAACAATGGCGTCCGCTGCTAAGTTTTAAAATTACTCTTATTAATCTTTCGGGGTCACAAAATAAGCATATTTTTCAGGCAGAAAGTAGCTGTGTAAACGTCAAATATCTGCTCGGTTTATCAAGATATCGCATATTTGCAAAAGTGCTTCGACGTTTTCGGAGACGTCTGTTACCCACCAGCTCGATAGCGAGCTGGGAGCTCGAGGGTCACTGGAGCCGCCAAGAACGGCACAACTCCCGGCACATCATTTTCAGACCCCATTTTCTTTCGCTACTCAGGTTAAACGTGATATATAAGTCACTTAGATAACTTAAAATGTTATTGTTGGGCTTTGTTTGTGAGTCAATCAGTTTGGCTGAGATTAAAGTTATTAGATCAAATTAGATAAAAAAAACAACAAAACTTTTTAATCCCCCGGGTGGTTTTCACACAGCTGAATAAACATCAAACAGAAAACTGATTAAACAGACGTGTGAGACGGTCTAGAGTTTCCTCCAGTGTCCTGTTATATTTTAGACAGCAAGGAGCAGACGGCCGAGTTTATTAAACTCCACCCAGACAGCGGTGACGCTGATCTGAAGGCTCGACTGTACAATTTCACAGCCGTTTACTTCCGGCGTACCCGACCTTCTGAGGACCCGGCCCACGTTGACTGCGAAGGCCGGGTCCTCAGTATGCAGCAGCCCATGAATTTGGACATGACTAACATGACACTTCCGTGTGCCGGGGCAGCCAATCAGCAGAAAGGGGCGGGTAAAGTGAGAGCTGCCGGTCAGCGCGAGGGCTAAGGAAACCTAACTGGGATTTAGCAATGAGCTAAAGTGGGTGTAACAGGGTTCTGGGGATGTTTGGACCTGCTGGTCCCCGAGCTGCAGCTCGTCCACACGTTTGGCAGCTCTCTGCTCCCCACAGGCAAGCGTGAGAGCCTCCGGAGCGCCTGGATCTCAGATCTGTGAAGTGTTTTACCACTGATGGTTTCCCTGGTTACGTCCCTGATGTGTTTCTCTCTTCTGTGAAAACTTTTTCCATGACCTGATTTCCATTTCACTTTCACTGGCCATGGAAATGAACTCACACCAGGCTTATGTGTTTCGTGGAAGAGTGACTCACCTGTTTCACCTGTAGCTGCAGCAGCTGCACATCCGTAAGCCACACCCCTCTCAGTGTTTGACGTGTGTGGTCTGCTCAGCTGATTCCAGCATGTTTTCTCTGCGCACCCTGACCAATCAGCTTCACATCCACAGGCACACCGAGGGTGATGAAGGTGTGAAACAGCGCAGGTCTGGGATCAGTGTTCCTCTCTGGGAGTGCTGTGACACTTGGCTGATGGTTATGGGGGCGAGGGCAGAGTTAGGGAAAGATGGCCGACGTTGGCTGCAGCGACACCCAAACCCTCCTTTGTTCCGTTTCGGAGAAAACCTTTTGCGTTTCACAGATTCGTTTTTCTGGGACTTTCTTCCTCGTGGCGTCTGCAGCTGAAAGAGCAGCTGTGAGCTCTGCATTGTGTCCTGTTGATGGAGTCGAGTTACACAGGAGGCCTTTTTGTGTCCTCTGTCTGTTTGTGCGCTCGGGCCTCACACCTGCGTTACCCCAAAGCCTCCTCAGGGCTTCCTGTGCACTGCTGTTTACTGTCAGCAGGGGGCAGTGTGGGTTAGCTGACTCTGCGAAGTGTTGTTCTTCAGTGTTTGACAGAAACGGCTGTTCAAGGTCAAAGGTCGTTAACAAATGGTAAATGGTCTGTATTTGTATAGTGCTTTACTTGGTCCTAAGGACCCCAAAGCGCTTTACACTATATGCAGGAAGAAATATTGTGCAGCACATAAGATCAACAGAACACAGTGTGCTTTGAGGTAGGAGCCAAAAAGGGTGTAGTTTGTGGGTGTGACCACCCGTGTGTACACCTGTGAGCATGGACGCGCTTGTTTTTTTAAAAGGTTCCTTCATGTAATGATCTGCTAGAGGGTGTGGGGGGGCCACAGCCCCGTCCTCCAGGGCATGAAGCAGGTATGGAGGAGATCAAAACTCCAGACATCCAGAGGCCCCCAGAACACAAGAGACCAAGGAAGACCAACAGAGGGGCAGCCGCGCCACTGTCCCAGAAAGAGCTGAGGAGAGTCCCAGATGAGGGCTCACTCAGCAGCCGCGGAGCAGAAGCCAGGGGGAGTTGCAGTGACGCGCCCGTGAGCTCCGCCGGCAGCCAGCCGTGCCTGAGTGACCGAGCCCCAGGCCGAGAGGCCGGGGGCACCCCACCTCCGAAGTGGCCCGAGCGAGCCCCAGGCTCCAGGCCCCGATAAGCGGCCGCCAAGGAGTGAGCCGGTGTGTACCCGGACGCCCATCCCCGGACACAAAGAACCACCAACGCACCGATGTCTGACGGAGTCCA